GGATCAGCACTTTTTCAAAGTGAGTAATTCAAACCACGCAGCATCACTCATGACTAACATCCCTCAACATAAATCTTAAATTGAGACAATGACATCAGACTTGAAAGGCCTCTTGGGATCATATTTGGCATCATATGAATATAACAGGGGATCTGGAGGTGGCAGAGAACTAAAGTCACCGGAAAACTGAAAGAGGATGTAAAACACAGACTCTTTCCTTCTTATGCAGATTTTGTCACTGTTTCAAACCCATTTGCATTAAGCATCTAATTTTGCCATAGCTGGTGGTTCAAGGTGTCTATGAAAAGCACACTCTGTGCATATCTCTTAGAAACAATAACAATTTGTTACTTTGTAGCTTTGACAAAACAGCCTGTGAGGTAAAAAGTTCAGTTATTTTTATTCTAACGCGCAAGAGTCTTTAAAACTCCCAGCGCAATTTAAATTAATTAGCTAACACTTTAATATTTTATTAAACCATTGGTTATCTACAGATAACACGATTTCTTTGCTCTGTATGGTTACCAGGCAATGGGTGCATTATAAAACTGCAGGTTTAGATTTGAGATGACATGTAGGTCATATAAGTTTGATCACTGTTGCTTGTTTGAACTCTTCCTGATCATGTGCTTCACATTAAGCCTCGATAAACATGAGTCACTGACACACGTGGCCGCACGCGTGTCCTCTGCAGCATCAGTTGCTCTCACCTGATTGCATCTATCCAGTCGTCCCGTTCCTCTGCGCTGGCTGCACTGAGCTTATACGACTGGTGTTTACCCTGGACCACTCTGCCTTTGTTCTCCGTCTTGCAGGCCTTGATCTTTTGTCCTTTAGGATTATATAACTCCAGGCAGAACTGTTTAAACACACATGCAGACCCACATGTAGCACCGTTACTGTGTGCATATGCCTTTTGTTTATTTTAATAATCTTCTGATAGCCTCCTGACTCACTGTTTTGAGCACTTGCGCTAGAAATTCATTTAGCAACTGCTGTATGATTCATTAAGGGCTGTGGTGGCAAATAATATGTGTGTGGAAACTCAGCAGTCATACAGTGTGATGCAGAAAGTGAATGATGCTCTACCGGTTTGCTTGAGTCTTGTAGTGCCCTGACACACAGGTTCTCCAGAGGAATAATCCCAATTGGATCTTTATCCTGCAGGATGAGAGTGAAGATGTTTGACATGGCCATGTTTTATTGTCATCATGTCTTACTTATGTAGCGGCAGAAAAAAAAAAAATAAACGTACTGTTGTGTATTCAAAGTAGTACAAGCAGCTGTCTGTCAAAATGAACCACCTTCTCTTCCAGGTTTTAACTCGACCACCTGCAATGAAGCAAACAAGACATTAGACACACGAGCAAAGAGAAGCTCTGACGTCCTGTCTTGGAGT